CAATGAGCAAGCTTGTTCTAGTGCCTGTAAACACAGCCCTGCATCCAATGACTGCAGAACATGCTTTCAAGTACTCAAGGCACGTTACAAAGGCTGAGCGCGTGTTTTGCTATAAAACATCCTTCAAAACATTCCAAGGGGGTGATATCCCAGGACCACTTTCTCTGACAAATGAAGCAATGTTACTAGAAAGTTCTACCACAATAATAACAATGACGAAAACCACATCGTTACACTGCTGTGGCATAACTCTTGGAATAAACAAGAGATGATGGAGATTAGAAAAACACAGCATAAGCAGATGAAAGTGAAAGCGAAATACTGTTCATCAAGTGCCGGGAGCCTGGTGCAGAGCTGCGGGTCTTTCACCTCAGTGACTAAGGAAGCCAAGGCAGAACAGTACTGAATTTGAGGTCAAATTGAGCAACACAGTGAGACGCTATCTCAGCAAAAGGCCTTTTCATTGATATTTACAGAAAAAAATTATAGTGTAAATGCTATAAATAGCTATCGTGCCTCACATGCCTTAAAAAAAAATCTAGAGATTAATAATTATCTAGCTTAAGAAGTTAGAGCAAACTATATTAAGGGCTGAGTGAGTAGAAGGAAAGAGATAAACAGATGTGAATAAGCAAGGTAAAACCCACAAGTGGGAAGTTCAACAAAGCCAAAGGTTTGGTGAAAATATCAATAAAATTGGGGAATGTGTAGCAGGCTTGGTCACTGTGGGAAACAGCAGAGGCACTGATAACACTGGGAATGAGAACAGGAGCAAAATGCAGATGCTACTTTTGAAGTAAACACCAATAAAATTTAAAAAACCAAGATAAAAGGTACAAATTCCTCAGCTCTGCTGCTTATCAAAGCTGACACAAGAAGAAATAAAGATTCCTAGTAGTTCGTAAACCTCAAATCCCTGTAATCAGTAGTTAAAAATGTTCTCACAAAGGAAACAGCAGTCTGGATGATTTTTTTTTTTTTGCCTTGAAGTTCTAACAAACATTGAAGAGAGAAAAACATCAAGTCTCACATAAAGTATTCCGGGATGTAGGATTGGTGGGAACACCTCACTATTTAAGATGCCACACATCTGCAAAGATGGCAGAACAGGATCAAGTGGATTTGGGCAGCATTTAAGACTTATATGGGCTGTGAGAGATGAGGCAGGGGAGTCTGAGTGATAACTATATAACTAATCCCCCAGCCAGAGAACATGATGACCTGAAATTAGCAGATGGTCTGCTGGAGAGCAAGGATGGAGCAGGACACTCTGGGAATGGCCTGGGATGAAAAGGTCTCAGGGGCCTGATTGTAGACCTCATGAATAGAAGAGGGATCCTTGAAGTGAAGGCAGGTGGGGGATGGGGGCTGAGTGCTGTTCTCAAGCAGGAAGTAAGTATTCATGGCCCGGCTCCTAGGACAGAACTAGGCAGGATGAGTGCTGGGTGCTGGGGCCTCTCCCCATGTCCCTGCCCCCAGATGCCCTGAGAACAGGGTCTGGAAATCAGAGCTCCCCTGTGTCCGGCTTTGAGCTACAAACATTTCCTGCAGAAAACAAGAAACTCAGTCTCTTGGCCCCACTGTGCTCTGCATATCAGCACGACAGTGTGAGCTTGGCTGGTAAAATAAACACTGCAGCAGGTCCAGGTCCAAGAAGAGCTAAGAACACCACGGGGAAGAGATGGGTGTGGGTTCTGCAGAGAGCCAGGGGACCCTAAGGAAGCCAGTGAGGGGCCCAGGCCAGGTAACATGGGGTAGGAGGGGCAGGAGGCAGAACTCTAGGGTTTCTGTTATAGGGATGACAAGGCAGCTTGACCATCTTGAATTGCCACTTGTTCTGACTGCTGTAGCCACTGGCTCCTACCTAGCCTTGGCTCTCAGAGTTGATTCTAACTGGCCCATATCCAGCCTTGGCTTGCAGAGTTGATTCTAGCCTCATTTATCAAAGGACCACCATACTTCTGAAATGTTCTTCTCTTATCTACATCTGTGACTGCCATGTGGACCAGCTCTTTGTGTGACCACAGGAGACCAGTTGATTTCTAGGACAAAGAAATCCATAATATATGGCAAAAGCTGAAAGTATGTAGCCGCTGCATGAAGGGAGCCTACGGGCACATCTCCCTGGTATGGGTCCATGCCATACCAGGAGCTAAGGAAACTCCTGGTCAGAAACCAGCTGTCCTCTCCTGGGAATCCCTCACAAGTAGATACCCCAAATTTCCTTGGTCCTTAACCTGATCTTCTCCTCCAGTGGGGTCCAGCTGTTTGTGAGTGAGGTTCAGCTCCTGTGATGTGGGTGGCCTATGGTGGGCCACACTTTACAGCTGAGGGGCTAAGCAGAGCTAGGCAAGTTGCTGGACACTGGACACTTGACTTTGGCCAGCCTGCAGCTGGCCTGGAGGGGTGGGAGGGAGAGGCTGTCAGCAGGGAAGCTCAGGGACTCTGTCTGGGTTCAGCCAGGCTGGCTGGCACTGGCTCTGCTCTGGGACTGCTGGGCTCCCAGGGATTTCCTGTCCCCTACTTCCCAAGGTCAGCAGGATTGCGCTTGGGTTGTTTCTGGTCCCGATGGTTACGTTGATAACTGCGATAACATGGGGCCCTGGCCATGCCATCGTGCCCTCTGGGCCCAGCAAAGCTCTTTCCCAGGGTCTGTCCCCACAGGGGGCAGTGGTCCTGGACAGGGAAGGGACTGGGCAGGCTGCCATGGGCCGTTTGGGTCAGCGCATCTTTGACAGCCTCTTGATGTATAGTGGGGGTCCAGGCTAGAGACCTGGGGGGGATCCTTGGTTCAGTGTGGACAGTGGCCTTGGCAGAGGACTCACTCCTCCATCTTAACCATCTTGAGGCAGGGGGTGAAGATGAAGAGCGGTGCCCGTGAGGTGTTTGCTGCAGCATCTCAGTATCCTTGTGAATCTGGCTCAGAGCCCAGACAGGGCCAAGGTCACCAGAAGCTCTGAGGATCGCCTGGCTTAGCTTTGTTCCTAAACCTTGCTCCCAGAGACCATGGACTCTGGAAAACCAGCCCCTTGTTCTGATCTGATGAAACACTGGCACGTAGTTCTGCTTCTGCCCCTGTCCCTGGGCCAGTACAGGCTCCCCCTTTGGTCACAGAATTGTTAACCCTAGACTGCTGCCAGGCAGCGTATATTGAGTCTGGAAAGGAGGGGACACTGATTTTAGGAGACACTAGCTATCACCTTCTGTCACTTACTGGAGACACGGGGTTTCTTGTCTGGGTTTGAGGGGTGGTTTGTCCTATAGGTAATGGGTGGAAGGAGAAAGCTGGAAGAGTTGGAATGGAGTAGAACTAGATAGGGGCAGGAATTTGTAGTAGAGAAATTATCTGGAGCTGGAGACAGTATGCTGCTTTTAAATTTCTGGGGTGAGAAGGCTCACATACCTAGGATTTAGTCGGTACTATCTTGAAGCTGGTACTATCTTGCGGGGGGGCACCTCCCTGATTCCTGCTGGCAGTAGGAGTGGTCAGCAAAGGTGTCCTTGACCAGGTACTACTTGGGGCTATCTGAGGTTGGATAGGGGACTCAAACCAGAGGATCTGTCACTGGTCCAATGGGCCCATGTGCAAAGAGGAGGAAAAGCCAAGGGTATTTCTTGATCCCATAGGCAAATAACAAGGCTCCCAAGCTACCGCTGAGCCTAGGCCTTGCGAATTGGACCGTCTGAGTAGCTTTCCCATCCTTCCAGAGGATCTCTGTTCTAGATTGGGTGGCCTGCAGGGCAAGGGCCACAGTACCTTCCTACTCAGGCCAGGGGTGCTACAGGTTAGGCCGGACCCTATAATGAGATTCAGTGATGGACATACATACCCCCAGGATCCCAGAGGTTATCTGGAGCCCAGACCACACTCCTTCCATTTACTGGTTCCATGGCTACCATAGGCTGGGGGACACTTGTGCCAGGGGGCTTCGGAGCCTAATGCCTAGGATGTGTTTAGGAAATGAAAGCTGGCCTATCCTATGTGGGCCAGACTAGCCTGGCCTACCTGCCCAGTTGCAGCCCCTATTGGAAGAGAGCCAGACCCAGGCGTTGCTAGGGCAACCCAGCAGCAACCACACTCCACACTCAACTGAAATTCCACTATTTTTAGCCTGCTAGTTATGTTCAGATAAAATCCATGTATACAGACGAGTTGTCTGGCAAGATAACAGCACACCTCAAACTGCGGAGACTTCAAAGAGTAGTTGTGGGTTGTGCCCAAGAAAGCCCCCCCCCAACCCCCATGAGTCAGAGCTTTCAGTGGCTTATGAAAGGTAGGATGGTGGGCACAGAACCTGGGGGGCAATGGAGTAGCCTAATGGCCTAGCCAATGTCAGCTGTGATATTCTGGAAAATGAGACTGTGGGCAGCCAGTATACAAGGAGCTACCACAGGGTATGCACTCTATCCTAGGTGGGAACCTACAGTAGTAGATCCTAAATATAGCCCGGCCAGCAGAGCCAGCAGAGCCTACCAATCTCTCTTGAGCTGGACCTTCCCTACCAGTCAGGTTCAGGCTAAGCAGAGGCTGACAGCATCTAGGAATCAACCCCAGCCAGGTTCCGAGTCTTCTGAAGGTTTGGCCTACCCTGAGTAAGGGCCTTAGACCTGGCTGTCCTGTAGGGAGGCTGGTGTGAGTCTGGCCACAGCCGCTTCCTGGCTAGGACACAGCCAGGAGGCTCTTAGAGTAGAGGGTAAAGAGCAGAGGGAAAGAGCCAGGTCATGTTTAAGGCTTCAGTGTGTCTGGCTTTGAGATCTCACTTTCCTTCCCAGGGCAGAGTCAGGGCCACAGGCCTTGGGGCACCAGGCAGAAGCAGCCAACAGGCTTCTGATTATTCCAAGCATACAACTGTGAAGGGTGCTGCCTACCCAGGGTGCATAGTGCTTTTCAAGAACTCCATGGAGGAGACAAGAGGAGCGCGGACCGAGGTGGGGCACCCGGGCACTGCACTGGCCAAGGATGGTGACTATCAGAGCTGACAGTTGATGCAAGAGCCTACCTTGTCTTCCACCCTGTTCAGACGGGCACCGATGGTGTTGCTGCCCCGGTCCTTGCTCTTTTCTATGGGGTAAAACACAAAGTCAGGGAAATGCACTGTGGATGAGCCTGGATGGACACTAGGGAGTGGAAGACAGGGGAAATCAGTAGCTAGGGGTGGGCAAAGGCTTGAATCTGCAAGACATTCTTTAAAAAACTCTCATGGGCAGAACACCAGGCGTTGAGGGCAGGGGAGGCACTATAATCACAGAGTGGATCTGGGCTCCAGCCTTGCTCCTCCTGGCTTTGGAACTCCTGAGAGTCTGCTAGGAGGGACAGAGAACTCTAAGTCCAGGGGATTACTCAAGTGGTTTGTGATACTTGCTGGGCTTTGATCCATCAAAGGCCAGGGTGTCTGCTGCCTCAGTCGTCCCCAATGTTGGGATTATGGCCCAAGGTCCTGTCTGAACCTCAGCTAGTGTTATCGCCAGGAATGTGCCTTGCTTTGTCATTCCCTGGTGTGGCTAGCCCCATGTCCTGAGGACCTGAGGATTCCCACCAAGCCAAGAACTAGCTCACACCATGCTATGATGCATTCTGAAGATCTGAGCTAGAAAGGACCCCATCATGGTCCCCAAAACTCTGGGCTGGCTGCTTATCTACCCACGCTTCATTCCATGTCCTTCTATCACAGAAAAATGTGCCCTTGGTTCCCATTACCATACCCAGAGTCTGACCATAATGTTTTTAAAAATCTATCATTTAAAGGGACACAGTGGGCTCTGTCATCGCCAAAACATTTCATTATATAGCCTGTCTACAGCCACGTTGCCAAGCATGAGGCTCTAGTGATGAAGAAGAGGAGCAAATAAGGGTGAAGGGATGAGAAAGAGAGTCTCTTGTGGGTTGCCCTGCCCAGGTACCAGTGCAGCTACCCACCTGAGATGGGGATGAACAAAGATGGCTTTCCGATGGACTGGTCCAGCCTGGGAGAGAAGAGAGGAACACCAGCTCACATGATGCCTGGGCACCACAAAGACTGCCATTGTGTCCAGGAGGACAGCATGTCACTCCAGGGGTATCTTCCATTGCCATTCCAAGACTTGCCAAGAGGCACCCAAGGCCCCATGGGCCCATTCTCCTGAGAGGGCCAGGCAGGAAGTTCAAAAATGAGGGGCAGAAGCCAGGATACTTAGACTTCTTCCCCAGATGAGATGAGTGGAGTCAAAACAGGGAGGCCCTGAACCTTTGACCTTGTCTCTGGAAGGGGCAGTCACATTCTCCCAGCTGTACCGCATGATATACACAGAGCTAGGTTTGCAAGCTATCCCATGAAGCTGATCTCCTAGGTCCAAATGATGGAAATCAGATTCAAGCCAGAATCTCAGATCATGTTGGTTCTAAATGGTCAGGATCCTGAGCTCCACCCCAGTGGCAGAAGGTCCATGGATGGAGGCTAAACCAGAGGTAGGTCTCACTAAGAACTCTTTTTTTTTTTTCCCTGTGAGGCTGGGGCAGGGCCTCCTGGAACCATGTCACCACACCCGTCTCTGTACCCACCTTCTCTGTAGTTCTTTGATGCGCACCATAAGGTTGAGGTGGCCCTGAGAGTACTGCTCAATGACATCTCGCACATCGTAGGGCTTCCGTGCTTGCTGCAGGACAGAAAGACACGTGTCACTTTCCCCCGGGTCAGGTAGGTGCAGTTCTAACTTCAGACAGCAATGGGGGTAGGGTGCACTGGCAGGGAGGAATGGCTTAGGACATACAAAGTAGCAGTTCAGCCTGATGGGGGCCTTTGCCTCCCATCAATTCACTGGCAGAACTAGCCACCTTCTACTGGCTATGGTTCCAAGTCTCCTCAGGAAGAGCTGGCCTCACAGGCCAGAGACATGGCGCTGTAGAGCCACGGTTCACATGGGCCTTATTGACTGACTGTTGCCACACTTGCTGCTTCTCTGGGAGAACGTCATGTGTTCTACATAGCTCCCAATGCTGCACAGACTTCCCGTAAGAGAGTCTAGCCCCCATGAAGGAAGGACCTACCACACCCAGGGTGACACCCAAGGGCTGTTGTGAGTCCAAGCTTGAGATGGCACATAGGCAGATCCTTAGCCCTGTGCCTCCATAGCTGTGACAGTCTAAGGAACCGTGCTTGTCTTACAGTCGTTTGTAAGATGGAGATGTAAGCCCTGATCCTCCCTTCTGTAAGGTCAGATTCTGAGCCTGGTTCCTGTCTTCTGTAAAACAGGACACTGAGTCTTGTTCCTCTTCCCTGGGAAATGCGTTGCTGAAATCTACTCTGCTACATCTGGGAGGGAATGAGAATAAAATGAGACCCAGGATGAGAAACATCAAGGACTCCTGATGCAGTACCTTGCCAGTCAAAGGTGGCCATGATTGAGTTCAGGGCCTGGGTCCCTCCTCGGTGCATACTCAAAATGGCCCTGAATAATAGGGGAGAGACTTGTGGGCCAAAATGCTTTAGAAAATGTGTGGCACCTCTAGGCATGCCTTTGTCACATGGAGTAAGTGAGCAAGGGAGGCAGAAATTACACCTTGAGATAGTGCAGGCCTGGATGAGGAGACAGGTACTTGTGTTGGTTTGTGCACAGCCTGAGAGTCTCAGGGCCACTGTGCCCAAGTGTACATGGATACCTTTGATAACCTCTGCAAACACACATGTGATCAAATGTATAGTGGGGAGATGTGAGTATGCAGGCCTGCAGGAGCAGGGTAGGGGACTGTAAGCAGGGCACTGTCTAGAAAGACCAGAGAGCCAGGCAGTGGTGGTGCACACCTTTAATTCCAGCACTTGGGGGGCAGAGGCAGGTGTATCTCTGAATTTGAGGCTAGCCTGGTGTACAGAGTGAGCTCCAGGACAAAACAAAAGCAAGCAAGCAAGCAAGCAAGCAAACAAAACTCAGAAGGATCAGAGATACCTCACCAACCTACCACCCATGCCCAGTGGCATTCCAGGCTTGCTGAGACTTATCTTGGAGCCACCAAGTTCTCCTCCAGGATCTGGTTGGGGATTGAGGGGCCTCTGTCAAATCTGCCTGGGGCTGGTGTAAGAGACCATCTCCATTTTCTCCTAGGGCCAATGTCCCCTGATGGCAGTGGAAGCCAGAGATGAGTCAAGATAATGCTGCTTGTCCAGACTGACTGACTGTGGATGTGGGTGCTCAAGGCAAACTTTCAGGGCTAAGAGGCCCTGGCTCCTCAGGTCAGACACAAGGGCGGCTGGCCAAAGACTTATCGGCCAGTAAGGCAGGCAGGCATACTTGCAGTTAGGCCAGCAGGGGTGGGTGGAGAGCAGGTGGGTGGATGGCTGAGACAAAAAATCTGGGTCACCAGGGTGGCCTGGAACCCTGGTGGAGCCCTTCCCACCAAAGCTCCCTCTTTAGAAGTATCTCACTCTTTCCTGGAGGGCTGCCACCACCTGTCCATGTGTCCCCAGCAATAAAGCCAGCTCATTGTAGAACCCTTACTTTTCTTTACTTAGAAGCCTCTATACCCCAAAAGGCCCCTCTGCCACCTGGGCTGAGCATACAGGGGAGAAGCAGAGAGTGGAAAGGTAGGAGCTGTTTGGCCTGTTCTGGCAGCTTCCTGAGCCACTCTTAGGGCCTTGGCTAGTGTCCTGAGGCCTGAAAGGAAGTGCAGGGCTTTGGGTCTCTTTTTCCGCAGCCTCCAAACATGTCAGCAGGCATGTTTGTGCCATAGAAACTGTGGTCTGCATGGACCACTAAGATGACCTCTGACTCAAACAGGAACTGCTCAAAAACCATGAGGGTCCCTGTGCTTCACTGGGCACTCAGATTCTAGGAGTGAACCTAAGAGAGTCATGAGCTTACCCACTCTAACCCCATACAACCCAGCAGGTCCTATACAGTTTCATGTAGAACCTACTCCAACACCCAAAGGCCCACTTCTTAGCCTGGGGACTGCCATAACCTAGCAATTCCTCATGACACTTTAAACACTAGCAATTTAAGCTACACTGCTTCCCAGCAGGAGTGCCACACCCTAGCCCCTCCTTTGCCCCCGAGAGATTGTCTTGTGAAGATGTGAGTCCCCATGGAGTTCCTGTGGCTCCTTGCCAACCCAGGAAGTGCTGGTTCTATAAGAGGTGCCTCATCTCCTTTCTCCCTCAGCGCTTCATCAGTGGAACTGTGGGGCACATGGCTACTAAGTAGTGGGAGAAACAGCTTCAAGCGCAATCTCTGTAGGGCCTTTGGACCCTTCTAACACATTGCCAGGTGCCTCCTGGCTCTGGCCCCTGCTGAGTGTGACCTTTATTCCTTTTGACAACATGAAGTCCCTAGCATTGTAGGAGCTTGGACATAACTTGGTCTACTTGAGTTGGGACAGTACCAGGGGGTGCAGGCTAACAAGAGGTCAGCAGAATGCCACCATGGCACTGTTGAATGTACACAGGATCTCACCAGGGTGGCAGTCAGTATCAGGGTGAGGAGCCACATGCTGTTCCCATTAGTGTCAGGAGCTTGGCAGGAGGGCCAGTGGCCAGCCCAAGGGCTGTTTTTAAGGCTGGAACAGCAACAGTTGAGCTCAGGACTATGGTGAGTGAGACTCATGTCACCCAAGGCTCCTTTCAATATTGTCCTCCTCAATACAGTCACAGACAACTTGGGATGAGGACTATGCCTTAGTCCCTACCTCCTGCAGAGTCAGGAGCTTTTGGCTGCCTCAGGGCTGGGGTCAGGGCTGTGCTGAGGGAACTGTGGGAGCCTGTGTCAATCTTACAGCCTGGTGTGGTAGGTGTGGCCTGTAACAAGACACAGAGTCTCCACTGAGATTGTCCTTGGGCAACTTGTCCTAAGGCAGGTTGACCCAGCCTTCTCCACCCAAAGACAAGGACTTTCTGGTAGGAGAATGCCCTCTACCACTCGCTGCTTCTATTGACATGCTCTCAAGGTGAGGAATAAGGCTCTGCTCCCCCCCTCCCCCATGGCTTCTGCTTACAACTGTCCCACAGCAGAGGAGGAACACAGCCTGTTAATCTTAATTCTCCAAGAGCTGTGGACTCAGGGCCTCAGGAGAACAATCCTGGAGAAAGGCATACTGACAGCTAATGGATCCCAGAGCTGCAGTCTTGCCACCTCAGGAGCCTCTCTGCTCACTCTGCAGGACCCAGTGTGGGTAGGGCAGGAAACAGAGAGCTCCAAGCTGTCTGAGGACAGATGTTACTTCCTGTCCAGGTGACATTGCCAGGCTGTCACTATCGCAACTTTTCAGCTTAGAAAGTTCCTAACTTCCAACAATCAAAGTGGAGGGATAAAAGGTCCCTGGGCGAGGACTGGGAACAGTGTCCTTGGAGGAGCCTGCTGTCTTGGGGAATGATGATGATGATGATGATGATGATGATGATGATGATGATGATGATAATGATGATTCAAGGACTATAGCCACAGCATCTTGGCATCTAAGGGTGAGGGCATACTGCCACTGTGGTTTTCTTTGGGTCAGTTGCACAGGGCATGGTCTCACCTGGAATTTCTTCTTGGCTACAAAGTACTGCATGCGCCTGATCACCTTGATGGTGGCCCGATGGTGCTCCCGAAGTCTGTGGAGGAGGGGGAGCAGAGTGTGAGCAGCTTTCCTGATGGTAACTCTACCACACATGTCAAAGGTACCCCTGCCGAACATGGATGGACTATCCAGGGCTTGCCCTGTTGCTAGAGAAGCTGGAGGCAAGGAGTTTCTACAGGGGCAAAGGAGGGGTGCTGCATCACCGACGGGGAGAAGAACCTTTTCCCTGCATGTATCTAAGACCTGGGGTGGCTGTCTGCAACACTAGGCTGTCAGGATTGTACCTCTAACAGCAGAGACAGGGAAGGCCCTTGGAGAAGGAAGGACCACAGCCTTGTTAATGAGACTATTTCCTGAGACTGCTCAGGAGACTTTGTTGGTTTGCCTCTAAAGCTCCTTCTAGAAAGAAGGTCTTTTTTAGAAACATCACTGGAGGAAGCAGGCCTGTGATCAGACATCTATGTGCACAGAAATAAGACTGGAAGGCATCGGGGCAATGGAGAAACTGCGAGAGTCTCCTGTCTGTGAAGCTCAAATCTGACCAAACTAAACCGCATTGGCAAAAGAGTTGCTGGGAGCCTTTGGGAAAGTTAAGACTCAAAGGGCCCCAAGCCCAGAAACAAGAGGCAAGAGGAAGACGGCCTACTCTGCAGGCTGTGCTTCCTTCTCAGAGAAGTGTGGGAAATGTCTACACCAGATGGGATGGTGGGGCTTCCTGGGCTGTGAGGAAAACAGTGAGCCTGGGCTCCAGAGCCACCAGGATACAAGTGACAAGATTCCAGAGAACAAAGGCTATCAGGGTATCTTTTTTCACACAATTCCCCCTTGGAAATAGCTGTGCGTTCTCACAGAGCAGTAGTGGCTGCTGGGAGGGAGTAAAAATAAAGCAGAGAAAAGCCAGCAGGCTCTTGCCACTGAGGACAGCAGGTTAGGATGGGGCCCCAGGAAACATCCAAAGGTTTTTGTGTAAGGTCCCCAACAAAACCTCACATTGTCTCAGGCATAAACTAGCCCAGATTTCTTTTTCAAATTAGAGGAAAATCTACTCATCTGTAGAAAGGAATATTGGAACTTCTGTTTGTGTGTATGTGTGTGTTTTGCCCATACATTAAAGTTGAAAAATAAGGGAACATCCCCACACACACACCCACCAGATTCTAGACAGAGATCTGCAGGTGTGATGAATTCTGCAGTCTGAAGTGCTAGCGGCCCGCCCCTCAGGAGATAGAGTTGTTTTCATACTGCTTGAATTTGAGCTGACCTTGTGACCTAATGTGACTGCAGAGTTCTAGGGAGCTCAGTGTGTGTGGAAACCACAGGTGTTGGGAGTGTGGCTGAAGCTGTTGCAGGGAGGCGAGTGGAGGTGTCCAGCCGTCAGCCAGCACTGATTGTAGGCATGTGACTGAGTCATTTTGGACCACCCAGCCCTATGCAAGCTCCTGATGACTGCTGCTGCCTGAGTCATCCCAAGCATAACCACAGAGCCACCTTCCAGCAGGGCTTGGTCCAAGCCCCTGACCCATGGAGCTGTGAGCAAGACAAATAACTGTTAGACCACAACCTTTGGTTATGGTTTGCTCTTCAGTAGTAGGTAGCTGATAAAGAAATTAGAAGTCTGCCTATAATCCCAGATATTTAGAAGGCAGGAGGATCACAAGTTCAGGCCCTGCCTAGGGAACAAAGTGAGTTCAAGGCCAGCCTAAACAACTTAGTGAGATCATACCTGAAGAAATAGCTCAGCCGTTAAGAGTACTTGCTGCCTGTACTTCCAAAGGTCTTGGGGTCAGTTCTCAGCACCCACCATGGTGCCTTACAACCATCTCTGACTCCCGTTTTAGGGATCCAACACCCTTTATTGGATTCCAAGGACACCAGACACACATATACTGCACATGTATACACATAAGCAAAACACTCATTCATACATCTATATAATATATATTATATAATATAATATATTCTATCATAGAATAAACAAAACTCTAAAAAGTTAAAAAGAAGAAGGCAGGGGACCTGGGCACGTTGGTACACACCTTCAATCCCAGTACTCGGGAGTCAGAGGCAAATGTATCTCTGTGAGCTGGAGGCCTGCCTGGACTACAACAGTGAGCTCCAGGCCAGTTAGGGCTACATAGTGAGACCCTGTCTCAAAAAATGGGGTTGGGATACAACACCTCCTTTGAAGAGATGCCCCTCAATGCTGTTGATCTCATTTGAGGGGCTGTTCTGCTACCCGGCCCTAGCAAGGGTTCAGTCCTGGGGGGCTGAGGAACAGCTGGAGAGGAGGAAGAAGCCAAGGGATGGACATCTTGTTCTTTGGTTTTTTGTTTGTTTGTTTGTTTTTCTCTCTCTTTGAATAAATAAACCTTTTGAGGCAAAAAAAAGGGAAAAAAAATGGGGTTGGTACTTGAAACATAGCTCAATAGAAGACTGCTTATTTAGCATGAACTAGGTCCTAGCTTTGATTCCTAGCACCGAGGAAAGGAGAGAAAGGAAGGAAGGGAAGAAGAAAGGAAAGTAAAATGTTATTAATTAGAACTCAGAGGTATGACATTGTGATATCAACTTTTTATAACATTTGGTTTTGATTTTAGGACCAGAAGAAAAAAAAAAAGAGGCAGAGGACAGAAGCCTGGATGTGTGGTATTGTTTACAACTGCTGAGACCTCTAAGCGTGTTGAAGGGAGGAAGAACATTGTTTTGGGAGGAGTTGGGGAAAGTATCAACATGGTGGCTTTTAAAGATGGCTGAAAATCCCTTCTTGTTCCTGCTATTAAAGATCTGAGTCTGTTTCCACCATGATGGAAGCAGACCATGTGTTCTGCGTTTCAGCCTCAAAAGGCCTGCAGACTTCACTTTTACCCTCTCAGAAAACTTCTGCCTTCTGGACAAGTCCAAGCAAGCCTGCTAGAGAAGCTGAGTGAAGGAGGAGAGTTGAAGGGTTGGGATGACAGCTGACAGCTTCAGGCATGTGAGGCTGACACTGCTCAGCCACCAAATGAGTGTTCTGCCCCCAGGAGTGCGCCCAGTCAAGCAGCCCAGAGTCTGACCCACAAAGTCAGTGGTAGATAGATGGCTGTGGTTTGCATCAGACTTTCTAGATGAGAACTTTAAGATAACTGTGATGGATAGAGTCAAGAAAGTAGATGAAAAGATGAGGGATTTCACCATACGATAAAAGTTATCTCCAAATACTGAAAAAGAAATTCTGTAAAAGTCAGGCATGGTGGCACATGCTTGCAATTCTAACATTTGGGAAGGCAGGAAGATCAGGAGGTTCAAGGTCATCCACAGGGGCTTGAGGCCAGTCTGAGATGCTGTCTCAACCTCCTTCTGCGGTTCCCTCTCAAAAATAAATAAGTAAATACATTAAAGAAAGAAAAAAGAAAAAGAGAGAAAGAAAGGGCAACACAGTAGTGGAAATTAAGAATGAAATAGGTAATCCGATAAAAGAGGCAATGTAGTTACAAAAATAAAAAGAAAAATAGTAAAAAAAAAAAAAAAAAGGGTAAGATGGCAAAGAATGTGAATGTAAGTGAATTAATATTCCATTAAATAGATCATAATATCAGTTAGGATTAAAAATGATGATATAAACCCACTAAAAGCATAAACAAACAGAGACTAAAAAGAAAGGGGCAGAGAGGAAAAAGTACCCTGGCCTAGTTCTCTAAACACAGACATCTGCAAACTAACAACAGGCACAGTAGACTAGACAAAGAAAATTTCAGAGTTATAGAGTACCAGTTCTGGGCTAGCTGGTAAAGTGCTTGTTCCCTTCCCTAGATTCCCCCATTAAAAAACAAAACCAAACAAAAAAAATTCAGGGATAGTAGCACTTGTTTGTAATCCTGTTGCTGGAATGCAAAGACAGGGAGATCCTTGGGACTCACTTGCCGATTAGCCTAGGACAACTTGGCAAGTTCCAGGCTAGTGAGAAACCCTGTCTCAAAAAAACAAAAAACAAAAACAAAAAAGGACAGCACCTGAAGAATGGCACTCAAGGTTGTCCAGGGTTTCCACACACAACTATATAAAAAAGGTGTCAGTTTAAAGGAAAAAAATCAATTCCAAATCTGTATGCACATACAAATGTAATCTTAAAACATAGAAAGCAAACTGGGAAAAACGAATTGATAAAAGAACATCCACAACCAGGATGAGAGCTTTGTATATACCTTCTTGGTTGTGGATACCAAGGCATCGGCAGAGCCAAATATGAACAGTGTGTCAGCTGACCCTAACCGACAGGGACATAAACCACACCACCACAGGGCCAGCACACACAAGCATTCACAAAGATACCAAGCGCTAGGTTTTAAAAGCAAGTTTCAACAAATTTCAAAGAAATTAAGTCATGTTTAGCATACTCCCCTGACCACAATAAAATTAAAACTACAAATCAAAAACATTACTAGGAAATCCTTAAGTGTTTTGGAAATTAAATGATCTAAGTTACCAAGGTCTAAGAAGAAGAATCTTCTATGAATCAGGAACGAGTTTTAATCGAATAATAAAAATTTATCAAAAGTTACAGCTAAATCCGTTGCGGAGTGTATACCTAGTCTCAGCAACTCAGGATGCCAAGTCTTAAACCCAGGCTACCTAGGAAGATGCTGATTTTAAAAATGGCAAGATGGCTCAGTGAGTGAGGGTGCTCGCTTTCTAGCCCAAAGACCTGAGTTTGATCCCCTAGATTTGCATGATGGAAGGAAAGAACCAACTATCAAAAGTTTTCCTCTGACCGCCATGTATGGGCCATGGCACATGTTCCCCCACAGAAAAATAAACATAGTAAAAATGTAAAAATCATGTCTCAAAAAATATAGTCAAGTAAATGTTGGAGGTTCATTGAAATATGGACACTGAGATAACGTATAGCTTTAAATGTGTTTGCTAGAGGAGAGGTTGAGACCTCACTCGGGTCAAACACACACACACTCAGACATACATATACACACACACATGCATGTTCACACACACACAGTCACACATACTTAAACACACCCTCACATACACTCACACACACATGCA